GGTGGTGAAGAATTCCAAGGCTCTGGCGGATGAGCTGATAAAACTCGGCTATGATTTGGTCTCTGGGGGTAAGCAGTGTGGAGGCGTCATTTTATGCAGTACTACGCCCTTCATCGTGCAGGGACTGATAACCACCTGGTCATACTGGATCTACGTAGCAGAGGTATTAATGGGAATAAGACCGAGAAACTCTGTGATCATGTGGCTATCTCCCTGAATAAAAACACAGTACGCTGATATACGATTTATACTGAGCTCACTAAGCTGCATAGGTCCCTGGGGACAAGTCGGCTATCACTCCGTCGGGTCTTCGTATCGGCGCTCCGGCTATGACCACTCGCGGTGCTAAGGAGGAAGACTTCCGCAAAATCGCCCAGTTCATTCACCGCGTTGTGGAAATTGGCTTGCAGGTTATGAAATGTTTACGACTCTTTGTTGGAATGTCTTCATATAGGTTCAGAAGCAGTCGGGTCCGAAGTTGAAGGACTTTCTTGCTATTTTGGATAACACTCCCCCTCCAGAGCTGACTCAGCTGCGTGAAGAGGTTATGGCATTCAGTTGTGGGTTTGTTCCCATCGGTCAGTGAGGATGGACCAGTGATGCATGGAAGAGCTTTCGTTAGAAATTTGAGATGTTTCATGAAGTTATTAAGTTTGATGGGCTTCTGCGTTTTAGTTTTATCAGATGAGATCAGCGCATTTCAGTCGTGGGTTTTAGGTGAATAATGACGTATTGAGCAGGGGGTCGGTCAATCGCGAAATGAGGGAAATAGGTGTGCTTATCACAGGACCGTTTATTGTTACTCCTACGTATGGCTGATATCAGCAGTCCACCAGCTCACAACGGTGTCCAAGATAACGGCAGGATACGGGAAGGTCTGGCGGAGGTGCTCCCTATCGAGGGCAATAAGGTCTTTTATAACAACGTCCAGGTAGTATAGGTAGTATGTGCTAATTTTTGTATGAAAATGTGAAAAATACGCGCTGTTTTCTGGGATTAATTATAGTAAAGTTATCGCTCTCACAGTTCCGAGTAGTTGCTCTTATCACAGCACGTGTTCGTAGCAGTGTCTGCATTGTTTATGCGATATAGTTCCCGATCGATTCTCAATAACTCCGGAAAATGACGTTTGCATGCATATCAAACTGGCATGCACTGTTTGTGGTTGTCGGAGTGTCTTGTGCCGTCATCATAGTGCTGCCCCTCGAGCCCATGCGCGATGAACTATGCATTCGTTGGGACTGGTGACTCTGGGTAGGGCTTCCTTAGCTTTGTGACTATCTGGATGCAGTTGGTTTATTGATTAATTTCTTGGATTACGCAAAGTGGATGTGGTGTATTCTCACTGGTGTCAGGTCTTCAACAGAGACACGTCGGTATTAGCCTTGAATGTCTTCGATACTTGGAGGAAAGACATTCCCCGCCGGGGAGGGCTGGCAGGGCCATCACGGAGGAGCTCAATAAGAACAACGAGGGCCTCACGGT